TGGGCTGTTGAGCCCGCAGATAGAGCAACACTGTCCAAGACACTGCAGATTTAGAATGGGCTATTTTTCCACATGTCTCTGCCCCTCGGTGATTGGTAAACCCTGCTGAATGCACTTTGACGGACACCGCACCCCGTTTTCTTAAAGCAGGAAGAAAAGGAGGAGTGATTGATCTGACCTCCTCAGTCAAAAGTACAGAAGGAGTCATCTGTATCTTCCAGGTGTGATGGAGCTGTGAATGGAAGAGCTTTGAAGTGACATCTGTATCTGTTTCTCCTGAGCTTGTCAGAACTTTTGTTTTGTAGAACCATCCTCAGCGGTGAAGGATCAGAACAGTCGTTGGCATTTTTGACTTTCAAAAGAAGTAGGAACTTCAAAGACGGCGCAGTGTTTGTGCGCGTCTGTACGCGTGTGCACAGTTGACCCAAACATTACTAGCCTCCTGTTGATCAAATTAACGATGAGTTAATTGCCTGGTGAGCGTCTGAACTTACAGTCCTCACATCATCTCCCAGATAAAATCCAAAAAATGTGTTCTTCCTCCCTAAAGGCATTCAGCTAAACTCATACACCGGGATGGGATAATGTCTGGAGGATTCAAAAGAGGTCAAAAGTTTGATAAGATCTGAAAACAGTCATGAGGAATAAAGTTAAAGCAACAGGCAACTTGTGCTGTCCCAAGTGCTCACTCAGCTGGGGAAGTGTTGAAGTTCTCCTCTGTCATTACATGAATGAATGTTTTATGCTGCTATATTATACATCCATTGCACCATATCTTAAGACAGCTTCCTGTGTTTAAACTACTACAAATCTTAGCAGTGTTCAGGCTGACAGAAATACTGTAGTAAAGCTGAGAAGTTCCCTGGAAAAATACAGCAAAACACAAAAAAATGTACTTTAAAATGTTCGGCTCGCCACTTAAAGGACACAAACCTGGTTCTTGTTCAGTAGACTTGTTTAATGAAGGATTGGGACCGTGTTTTGCATTTGTGTTGTGCTATTTGTGTGTGTGTGTGTGTGTGTATCTTCAACTTAGATTGCTTCCAGGAAAACGTGTCCCTGCGTAAAACCCACAAAATTAAAACCTATAAATCAAAATTGATTTGGTAAACAAATGTGACTTTAATTACAGAAATATGGTTATGTGGCAGCTTAGAGATGGAAAAATAATTTACATTGTTCCCCTAATGCTTTAATTGTTGTCTTTAATGACTGCGTGTTATTACAGTAAAAGGCAAATATCTCATTGCTCGTCATTCTGTGTTTTTGTCTAAATTGTTAAAGGTTGTTGCTCTGAAACCTGTCCATATTTGTATTACATCCAAAGTTGTGCTCTAAGTGTATCTGGAACCATCACAGATACTGATACAGCAGCAGTGGTTAAAAACAACATCTTTAGCTCATGTTTGTCACATTAAGCTTGGGTCCAGAAAAGGGAACAATATTTTATTTGTCTTCTCTTTGGTAGAGTTTTAATTGGAATTTATGGCTGCAGCACCAAACTGTGCTCACTGACCGCAATTTTCCTGAAGCCTTTCTGAGCACGTGTAATAATTTCCACAGCCTGTTTTTAATACTGTTATCGCTCAGGGGAAACAATGCTCCAAACATGACCGCCATTGAGTATTGATTCTTTTTAATCATAGTCCTTTGCTATTTTAGACAAAAATATGCCTAAATAGTTTGAGCAAACTGTTGCTTTGTTGAACTCTTCACCTTCTTCACTTTAGATAATCTGCTTTTTTTGTTGTTGTTGTTAGTTTGTCATCAGTCTGTATTTTATCATTAGTTTCATTAATGTTTTGGGATTTTTGTGTTTGATTATGTCCCTTGTGTTTTCATTTTATCTGTTCGTTGTGTTTCCTTTGTACCATCATCCTCCGTCAGTTTCTGCTCCCTCAGTCAACCTGCCCCGCCCGACCACACCTGTTCCTGGTTTCATTGGTCACAGCTGCAGCCACTCTTCCCATCAATCCTTAGATAGATTTTGGTTTCTCCTCACTCGCCAGTTCAGAAAGTTCCTCAAACTGTGGGCTTTAGATATAAACTTTTAAATTGCTGTCAGTTTCATTTAATTTATTTAACCAGGCAAATCCCGTTTAGCTCAAAAATATTTTTTTCAAGGAAGGCCTAGGCCTTAAGGCCTAAAGTCTTTAGGACTGTGACAGAAAAGTACCCAGTAATGCCCACACAAACACAATAAGAGCATACAAGACCCCAGGCCCATATTACACGAGTATTGAGACATCCATGTTCAATGGCAAGAACAAAAAGTGACAGCAGCAGCTAACTGTAGGACTTCCTACTGTAGCTTGAGGCACTTCCAGCAGGAATATCAATATTTCTGTCAGAATAACCATGTAAAGTGAAACTGACAGCAGCATTAATTAAAGGTTGCCACAATTAGCATTCAGCAACAATCCACTTTAGTCTTAGCATTTTTTTATTTTTTTATTTAGTCAGATTTGGACTCCTCCCATAGCACAAATTGAGTTTATACAAAGGACCATTTACAACAATTAGTCAGAACCTTTCCACAAATCAAAACACCTGAACTAGAGTTGTCGACGTTCTGAAACAGAAAAAAGGAACACTGATAGAAAAAGGTGGCTGCAGAGAAAAGGGGGACATTTTTGTCTCAATAACAATCAGTTGTGAAAGAAAACACAACAACTAAACATTTACCGGGCGAACATATACAGGTCCATGTAAGAGCTGGAAAGTTAAAACAAGAATCGGTCACTTTTGGTACTTTAGCCCTGAAACAGTGCAGCAGTTTTCATGTGGTCTGGCTTCAAGCTCCACCATCATCTCTTAATGACAAGCTGCGGCACAGATCAGGAAAAATGACTCGACTTCTCTATGACTTTTGGTTTTGGCGCAACTTTAGCTTTTTAAAATATTTCGCCTTTTTTGTCTGTTTTTTTCTCATAAGAAATGAATTGAGCTCATTTTACATCTTTCATATCTTTTGGGGCGGCTGTGGCTGAGTGGTAAGAGCAGTCGTCCTCCAATGCAAGAGTTGGGGGTTCAACTCCACCTGCCGTCACAAGCCAAAGTGTCCCTGGGCAAGACACTAAACCCCTTGTTGCCTCCGATGTGTGTCCCATCAGTGTATGACTGCGATAAATCACTGATTAGTCTCTTTAGAATGATTTGTTTAATTACCTTTGTATAGATGTAGTAGAGTGCTGTATGAATGAGGACACAGATTGTGTTGTAAAGAGCTCTGAGTGTCTTGACAGGATAGAAAGGTGTTATATAAGTACAGTCCATTTAGATCTGTTTACAACCTTTTACTGCTCCTTTCACATTTTGTTCTGCTTCAGCTTCTTTCAGCTTCCTTGTGCAAATATTAAAAAAATGCAGCTACTTTCAGCTAATTTCAGCTAGTTTTCAGTTGCTTTGTGCTCCTTTCAGATTCTTTCTGCTAACTACAACATGTTTGTGCTTCTTCTAACTTCTTTCTGCTAATTTCAGCTTGTTCTGCTCCTTTCAGCTCATTTATACAAGTTTCAGCTTTTTCTGATGTTTCAGCTACTATTGAGCTGTTTTATGCTAATTTTAGCTTTTTCAGCTAAACTTTTTTTGCACTCATTTAAAACTTTTTTTTTTTTTTTT